CCTATGTGAATCCTTTGGTGTTTCACCAACTCAGAATTCCGACTGAATTTTTTCCTACAAAGAGGACATTCAAAGGGTTTTTCTCCTGTGTGAGTCCTCTGATGCCTCACCAGGACAGAATTCTGACTGAAACTATTCCCGCACACAGGGCATTTAAAGGGTTTCTCTCCTGCGTGAATCCTTTGATGTTTCACCAGGTTGGAATTCTGACTGAAACTTTTCCCACAAATAGGACATTCAAAGGGTTTTTCTCCTGTGTGAGTCCTCTGATGACTCACCAGGAGAGAATTCTGACTGAAACTTTTCAAGCAAACAGGACATTTACAGGGTTTCTCTCCTGTGTGAGTCCTTTGATGTTTCACCAGGTTGGAATTCTGACTGAAACATTTCCCACAAATAGGACATTCAAAGGGTTTTTCTCCTCTGTGAGTCCTCTGGTGTCTTACCATGGTGGAATTCTCACTGAAACCTTTCCCACAAACAGGACATTCAAAGGGTTTCTCTCCTGTGTGAGTCCTCTGATGACTCACCAGGCTTGAATTCTGACTGAAACTTTTCCCACAAATAGGACATTCAAAGGGTTTTTCTCCTGTGTGAGTCCTCTGATGGCTCACCAGGACAGAATTGTGACTGAAACTTTTCCAACAAACAGGACATTTAAAGGGTTTCTCTCCTATGTGAGTCCTCTTATGGTTTACCAAGTCAGAATTCTTACTGAAAGCTTTCCCACAATAAGGACATGCAAACGGTTTCTGAACTGTGTGAGTCCTCTGGTGTCTTACCAGGCTGGAATTATGATTGAAACCTTTCCCACAAACAGGATATTCAAAGGGTTTCTTTCCTGAGTGAGTCCTCAGGTGTCTCATGTGGTGGGAATATCCAATGAAATATTTCTGACAATCCGGACAGTCATATGGCTTCTTCCTGCTGTGAGTCCTCAGATGTATCACCAAGTTGTCATTTTTCTTAAAAGATTTAGCACATTGGAAGCACTTGTAGGGCATCGCTTCTGGGTGGGTTCTTCAATCAAAAGGGATCTGTTCTGACAAAAGCTTTTGCCACATTCAGATAATTTGTATCTAATTTTCTCCAGATTAGATTTTTCCCCGCATAATCATTTGCGATTTGAAGTCTGCATCTTCCATGATAGGCACACCTATTGAGATTTTCCACCACTGATATTCTTGAGAAGGTCAACAATATGTGTGCTCCCTTGTTTAGCGTTGCTTTGATTTAAGCCCATTTCTTCCCCCAGGGCAATGCAAGGATTACTGTCTGTCCTATGTACCTGTCCAATTAATCTTTTCCTCCCCACTCACTTCCAGATATTTTCCTCTTTTTCTGAATGGAAAAATAATCTTTCTTGACCTATTTGTGTATTGTGTCCTTGAGTTCCACATACTCTACTTTTTGCAGCACGAAATCTCGTATTGATTTCTTTCCTTTGTCTCTCACTGCTGTGGAAGGAGAAGAATTGTGTGGTTTTTCTGATGGAAATGGTGAATATTTTTATTTCTGCCTCAATCTGCTTTGCTTTTCAATATTGCTTGTTATTCTCAGTTGTTCAGTGTGGTCTTCTGGCATCATCTTTGTCTGTAAGATTCAAATGAAAGTGTGACTTTTATTGTTTATAAAAGGGTTGCAGAAAATGTGAAAAAAGTGTACATTACAATGAAAAA